CCGCCGCTTCCATGGCGCGGCGGGGCGCGGGGCGCCGGGCAGGGCAGGGCAGGGCAGGGCACCGCGCTCGGCGCTCACGGCGCCGCCGTCGCCGCCGTCTCCCCGCAGCCGCAGCCGCCGCCGCCCGCCCCGGCCGCCGCCTCGGCCCGCGCCGCCGCCGCCGCCATCTTGGCTCCCCCCCACCCGCACGCGCAACGCCCGCCCCGGACCGCCCACCGCGCTTTTATTGGTCGCCCGGGTAGRGGGCGTGGCTCTATGAAGGAGGCGGGGCTTAGCCTTGAGGGGCGTGGCTTGTTGAAGAGGAGGGGGCGTGTCGTCCCCGGGGAATGCGCATGCGCACTGAGCTGTGCCCGCGTGCGTCGGCTGCGGTGCGGTGCGATGCAATACAGTGCGGTGCAATGCGGTGCAATGCGGTGCAGTGCAATACAGTGCAGTGCAATGCAGTTCAGTGCAATGCAGTGAAGTGCAATACAGTGCGGTGCAGTGAGGTGCAATACAGTACAGTGCAATGCAGTGAAGCGCAATACTGTGCAGTGCAATACAGTGCAGTGCAATACAGTGAAGTTCAATACAGTGAAGTGCAATGCAGTGAAGTGCAATACAGTTCAGTGCAATGTAGTGAAGTGCAATACAGTGCAGTGCAATACAGTGCGGTGCAAAGCAGTGTGCTGCAATGCAGTGAAGTGCAATACAGTGTGGTGCAATGCAGTGCAATGCAGCCTAGTGCAGTGCTGGGCTGGGCAAGGCCATGAAATGATGTACAGTGCAACGTGGTTAYTGGGCTGATGCAGTGCTGTGCAATGCTGTACAAGGCGCTATTGGACGGGGCGGTGTCGAGCAATGCAGTGTGGCACAGTGATGGTGTGCAATGCTGYGCTGTGCRCTGCACGGCAGCGCTATGCAGTGCTGCGTTGCAGTGCCATGCAGTGCAAGGAGCCCGAGCGCACCAAGGGCTGGGGTGTGGGACATGCACGTTGCAGGTGATGCCCCTGGGAGCRCCGGCAGCTGCAGTGCTGACCAAGGCAGGGCTGAGCAGAGGGCGGGCGGGCTGCAGTGCAGAGGGCAGGGCCTGCTCCTGCCTGAGCAGTGCTGGCAGTGCTGTCACGCACCCCAGCATCTGCACCCAGGGGCAGTGTCTTGAGGCCGTGACTCAGTGCAGCTGCCAGCAGCCACCAGGGCCCTCCATGGTCACCGCATGAGACCCTCCCGGGTGCTGCGGATGAGCGCAGCGCAGYGCAAAGCACCAGAAAGCCCCGGTGGCAATTCCTTTAGTGGGAGATTTACTTATTTATCCATTTATTGTCACTCTGTTGAGGCTAGGAGCTTCATTCACCTCCTTGTGCTCTGGAGGACGGGGAAGTGCCCCAAAGGGGAAAGCAAAGCGGAGAGGGGAGAGGGGAGATGCACCGGGATGGTGCGCGTTTCCCTCGGGTCTCAGCCTGCTCGATGGGACAGACGGACGGGGTGGACGGGACTGGAGCCCTTCGGACACAAGAGGGAGCCTCGAATCCCCGCAGCGGGATGAAAACCCAAGGAAAACCCACGTCCCGTGCTGGGCTGGAGCCACCGGGGACGGGGGCCACGYCGCCCGAGGAGGCCGGCGCTGCCCACGGGGACCAGCCCCGCAGCAAGCCCGCTCCGCACTGCGGGGCCTCCCGGGGGTGCCCGCTGTCCCCGGGGCGCGCGGGACGGGGAGGAGGCTGCGCGGGGCCCTGCGGCCCCTCGGGGGGGGGGGGGCGCGTGTCCCCATCCCGCCTCCAGGCGCATTCCAGCGGGGAGGGCGGGCGCCCGCCCCTATATGAGCGGGGCCGGGCGGCCGCGCCGCAGAGCTGCCGCCGTCCCCGCCAGCGCCCGCCATGGACGACATCTAYAAGGCGGCGGTAAGTGTGTCCCCCCCGGCCCGGGCCACCCTCCGCCTTCCCGTTCCGTGGGTCCCGGCCGCGCGGGGACACCCGCGCCGGCCCCGCGCGCGTGGCTGCAGCGGCGGCGGAGCCCGCGCCTTGGCTGCAGAACGGGGCCACGCGCGTGCACTGCAAAGCCGCACCTCGCTTTTCCTTGTGAATATTATCCAAAAAGGCTCCCGGCTTTTGCATCCCCGCGTGCTGCTGCCCCGCCGTGCGCGGCGTCCGCGCGGGCAGCTGCACCCACGGCTGTTTTAACGCCGTCCCCGCCACGCGATTCCCGGCCACGCAGCCTCTCATCCCGGCACCGTGTCCGTCCTGCTGTGCCTTACACGGAGATACCTGGCGGGAATCGGGGTGGGAAGAGATCCCAGGCAGTGTGAATTGCTGCCCTGCCCCATGCATGTCAGGATCAGGATATAACTTTCTAAGAGAGTTCTGGTTATTTGGGGTTTTTTAGAATATAAACGCAATTGGTCAGGCTTGATTTTAACCGAGGGCACAAAAAAAAAAAAAAAAAAAATCGCAAAAGTGCTATTTTTAATTTGAAGATTTTTAGAGGGAAGAAAGATCTTGCTTGAGCTGAGACTGAAGCAAATGAGACTGCTCACACAGCTCCATCTCCCGTCCTAACCCAGAGCCTTGTGAGCTTGAAAACTCCTAGGGATTTGGAAGGTTTCCGTGAGGAAAGGATCAGGAAAGGCTGTACACTTGAGCACTGAATTTTCCTAACGCCCCACTTCTATAACTGGTCTTCCCAATTAAGCCCGTTTTCTGGGGCTCAAGGTCCTTTCCATAGTGCTTGGGGTGGAGGTAATTGGGGAGAAATGCTGCAGGGCTGTGCAATGCCAGCCACGAGCCAACTGGGTCTGTCCGTCAGCCGCAGGAATGCACCGAGCCCCAAAAAGAGAGGGTTCCTCACCCCGAAGCTCGGCCGCTCGCCACGGCTCGGTCCCAAAAATGGGATGCACATGGGCAAAGAGCCACTGGACAAGGTCGCTCCTAGTCAAAGTCAGTGGAATTTAGCTAAAAAAGAAGAATTCCAGCATAAGAGCAACCAAAAACTTCCTTTACCAGCAAGTTAGTCCAAGCAAATGGTTCTTAAGCAAACTCGTCCTGGGCGCCGGYACCTTTGCAGGGACACAGCAGCTCCAGCCCAGGCACAACAGCTTTGCCRGGGGTCTTGACCTTAGGATTTTACCTATAAGAAGACATTTAGCTGTTAAAAATATATCAAAAATCTTTCCCCATCTATCTTCAAACAGGAACAGGAGATGAAAAGCTAAGTTGATTGATAAGAGTAAATTAAAAACCACGTCAGAGTTAGTGCTATCACAGACATCCCAGTGCTGTGAGCTCCTTCCAGCAGCACAACAGCAAAAACCTGTCGCTGGAAGGAGATGCARAGGGAAATGGGGATAAAGCCAAGAGTGTTTGTGTCCAGGTGACACATTATAAACCACACAAGTRCAATCCCTCTGTGGTGAAGATTTTTCTCTGTAGTCACCTTGTATTTAAAACTTACATCCGATTCAGCCCCACATCCTTTACTRGATACGTGTGAGCATCCAAAGGCARCTTTGGAAGCGAGTGTTTCATGTGCTCCTGGTCGGGGACATTTGTTAATCAGCATGACAGAACTGAACAYGTTTGTGCCCAATTCCCTACAGGCAGCCGCGGAATCCAATGGATTTTCCTCTTGCCTACTCATGCCTAGATAAGGCTGCCCAAGCCCAAGGCTATTCTGGGAACATTTTTGGGCTCTGCTAAGCGGCGCTACGAGCAGCGCCAGGGACAAGTGTCCAGATAAAAGGGCTGTGAGGATAAATTCCAGAGCCCGCCTGCTCCCGGGAACAATGGGAGGGCTCCTCTTTGTGTGCAGCACCTCTTTCCCGGGGTTTATAAATAGTGCCTGCRCCAGGAGGGTCGGGTTACTGCACGGTGGTGGCCGCAGGTGTCCGTGGGGCTCCGCTCGCCGCCTCTCCCTCCAWAGGGAAGGACCCGCTGGCCTTGCACCGGGCAAAGCTGGGGCTGCTCCTGCTCCTTGCTGGCCTGGGAGGTCTCAGTTCCCGCTGGCCGCGTCTTTCCGGGGCTCTGGAGCTGAGCTGCACAGGACAGGGATGGATAATTTGGGAGAGGAGATGGAGACAGAGCCCTCTAAGTGGAATAGCACATGAGTAACCCGGCACGGGGGTAGGGAAGAAGACAAGATATCYAGTGTTTTGATGGCTGTTACTGGGGGACAGCAGGATGAAAGGCTGTGGGCACAAGGTGCAACACAAGAAGTTCAGTCTGAACAAGAGAAAAAAGTTCACTACATGAGGGCGAGCGAGCACAGGTTACCTGAGAGGCTGTGAATCTCCTTGGAAAACAGCCGCAAGGCATCGGGATGCATCCTTGGAAAGGTGCTCCAGGTGGCCCTGCTTGAGCAGAGGGGTTGGGCTGGATGAACACAGAGGTTCCTTCCAGCGGTTGATTGCTGCAGTGCAATGAGAGGTGTCCCCGGGCCACCCCAAGGACCCAAAACTGACAGAACAACGTGTAAAAAGCCCGCAGGGAATCGCAGCCCCCTCCAAGGACAGAAGCCTCGTGTGCTACAAAAGCTGAATTCCGACGGCGGTAGAAAAGCCCTTAGTGTCGTGGATATTCAGCAGGATTATTGAACGGAGAACTGGAAACAGCTGTAGGGCTGATCCCCCCCTTCCAAGCCCCCTCGGTGTCACCACCACCCCGCTTTGACGCCTCCCAGCAGCAGGAAATTGCTCCCGAAGGAAGGGCTGGAATGGACAGATGCTGCTCCCAGTTGCTCCTCGCTGTTGGTGTGAACATTAATAATACTGCGTGCCTGAGGCTGCCGCTCCTGTAAAGCGATGCTCCCTTCGGACAAACTGGAAATAGCTTTTAAAGGGGAGGGCTTTTTTAGACAACGCTGCTGTATCCAAACCTCGCTGCTGTCCCGTGGACCATGAGGGCAGCTGGCGGGAGGATTAGTTCGACTTGGAAAAGAGTGTTGAACAAATAATGCTTTCTTCAAAAAAGAAAAGTAGTGGTGGTGGTGATACAAACTAATCGGTCTCTSTATTTCAATTACAGGTTGAGCAGTTGACAGAAGAACAAAAAAATGGTAGGTGCCTCTTCAATCTGCCGAAAGGAAAACCCCCTGGTAGGAAAATCCTTCCTACCACCACTGCTGGCAGCCAGCACCTTGTCTGCCCCCTTTAAAAAGCCCTTTTTCTGATAAAAACAGTCTTTTTAGGAGCCATGCCACACGCAGCACGAGGCAAGGCTTTGGTGTCCCTCTCGCTCCGCAGAGTTCAAGGCCGCCTTCGACATCTTCGTGCTGGGCGCCGAGGACGGCTGCATCAGCACCAAGGAGCTGGGCAAGGTGATGCGCATGCTGGGCCAGAACCCCACGCCCGAGGAGCTGCAGGAGATGATAGACGAGGTGGATGAAGACGGTGAGATGTCGGGCTCCCGCCAGCTCCCGCGGCTGCTCCGGAGCCCCCAGGGATGCAGGCGGAGGGCGGCTCCGAACGCCGCAAGCTCTTGCCCCACAGRGAGCACGTGTTCCCCACGCAGTTAGACACTGGAAATTAGAGAAGCAGCCAAGAACCAGCAGAAAAAGGCAATAGTGTCACCCAAAATACCAATAGYATACTGCCAGTGTGGAAATGCAAAGCGTGGATGCTTGCTTTCTGGGGATTTTTGTCATTAGTAATATCTAGATAAGATGTGTAGGGATCTCCACAGCAGAGATCACCATTCATTGATACTTACGGGAGGCTTTTAGTTCACTTTGTTTGGGCAAAATGATGCAAACAGCCAACATTCAGTCCGTGAACTCAGCCAGTTACACCAGTGCCCTGAAAACCTCATTTTGCTTCAGGTTCTCCCCCGTAGATTTTATTCGTACGTCAGTAAGCGAGGTTGGAGCTCCCCTTTGGCTTCGCCCGTCCCCACGCTCAGCGCCGTCCGTGTTTATTCCGCCTGCAGGCAGCGGCACTGTGGACTTCGACGAGTTCCTGGTTATGATGGTCCGGTGTATGAAGGACGACAGCAAAGGAAGAACCGAGGAGGAGCTCTCGGATCTCTTCAGGATGTTTGACAAGTAAGAGAACGAGCGCACCACATCACATCTAAGAGACCTTAGGCTGTGCTCGTCGTTGCACTTAGAGACACTGAGCGCGGCCCCACGCTCCACCTCTGGACACAGGGTGTCCAGAAGTGCAGCCGGCCCCGGGCTCCCCTTCTCCATCCTGTGCCCTTCCATTGCTGAAGCTCTTCTGCCCTTGCACAGAAATGCCGATGGCTACATCGACCTCGAGGAGCTGAAGATCATGCTGCAGGCGACGGGAGAGACCATCACGGAGGATGACATAGAAGAGCTGATGAAAGACGGGGATAAAAACAACGATGGCAAGATTGACTATGACGGTAGGAGTCTTTCTTGTGTGTGGTTTGGCTGCGAGTCCTTGAGACCCCCGGATCACACGGGCATGTTGGACCACACGTCCCGTTGCCACCTCAAAATCGTGGCAAGGGCCTGGGGCTGCCTTAACTGTGCCCAGGCTGTTCAAAGCCACCGCCTTGACCCCATGAACCAAGCCTGATTTTCACTAGAGGCCTGCTTCCCCCTTCCCGCCTTCTTAGGCCGGCCTAAAAACCAGCGCCAGCTCCTAAGCACTGCTTCTTTAAACGCGGTGACACCCAAATGGCTCCCCATGGCAGCCCCGCTTCACCTTTGGGAGCCATGTGCTTGGAGAAGATGATATTAGGGCACACATGTCAAGGGACAGCGGATGCCGTGGCCCAGCTCCATGGTCAGCAAGTTCTCGGGGGCCGCAGCCACCCGCTCCCGGCGCACAACCTTCCCTGCGGATCGAGGGAGGATCGCGGAGGTGCTGCCGGCTTTCCCAAGGATCCCGGCCGTGCTCCGTGCTGTGGAGCAGCAGGAGCGGTCAAGACACCTGCGTGTTCCCTCCAGGATGTTTTTGTTGTGTGAAAAGAAAGGGCTTTTCCTAAGACACAAAGAAAGGTGGTTCATATCCCCAGCACAGAGCAGGGTACAAAGCTCAGCCTTTTCAGTCAGATACTTGCTGTAGGARACAGATCTCCAGGAAATGCAGCTCAACATGGTCAAGCCGGGGCAAAACCCAGGGCTTTGGTGACATTTCCATAGGGAGTCACGAGGAGCTCCCGCCACAGCCAGGGAAACGGTAGCCGTGATCCTCGGCATCTCGCGCAGAGGCGGGAGGGAAGGGGAGAAAGGTCTATGGAAAGGTGCCAAAGGAGGGCTTGGCAGCTGCGCACGGTGCTTCGGTCCTCATCTAACACCCACTTGTCTCCTATGTCTTTTCCTTGGCAGAGTTCCTGGAGTTTATGAAGGGTGTTGAGTAAATCTGAAATGAGATCTACAGCCTGAATCCCCTAAATCCTTCCAGTGCTGCTGTCTCCTCTACTTGGTTACGACCCCTTGGCTACTAGTATGAAGACAAAGTGCTGAAAAGGGTGGCCACCAGGAAAATAAAACGCTTTAATACTGACCGCCTCCAGTGGTCATTGCTTGGAGTTTTAGTAGGAGAGCTTCGTTGTGGTTGTGTGTCCTTGATTAACAGGGCTGCTCCTTGGGGCAAAACCAGGCATCTGGGAGCCAAAACCTGGCAGAGCAGGAGAAGGTAATGCAACCATTATAGCTTTAAGCCCGTCAAGAGCATTTTGTACGTAGTCTAGTTAAAAGCACSAGTGAATTTGGACTGTGGGTGAGCAGCAGGGTGCTCCCCACAACGCGTTCCCAGCTCCCCCAATGCATTCCCAGGCACAGATCCTGCACTCACTGTGCCTGGCTTCAGGAGCCGGCCCTTGGTGCTGGATGGACTAACTGGATCACCAGGAGCCTTTTAACCAATAAAACACACAGAAAACGCCATGCATACGAATTAACAAGCCCTTAAGCCATCGCTGAGACTCCAATCAAGAGACACTCTGTCCCTCTTGCCCTGTTTTCCCTTTGCTGTCCTGACCAACTTGACACTGGCAACCCTATGGGGTTTATAAACACAAAAATCTCCTTTTTTTCTTTGGAAATGCTAATAAAATCACTCCTGAGCCCAACTGGGTGCCTCCTTCCCTGTCACACACAGATCCCCTGGGCAGGACCCTGCACTGCGTCCAAACGGCACCTCCTGGCTCTCCAACGGACACGAGAGGAAAACACAGTGCAAACGGAGGGTGCCGAAATCCCCTTTATGAGGGCCCCCAGGGTGCCAAGGACAGGGTGCAGCGTGTGTCACACCCCGCTCCCGAGCGCACGGAGCGGGAGCAGGGCGGGAGACGCCACGGCGAGGGACGGGGCAGCCTGGCACCGGGGGCGAGCCGAGCTGCTCAAGACGGATCCCGCCCGAGGGCCCGTCTTTCCAAGTCCCAAGGAAGCGCGCGCATTCCCCTGGTATTAGCAGCTCTCCCCACACATAGCTCGCCCGCGCTGCCGCGTCCCATCGGATTACAGCCCCGGCGCCGCTCACGCATTGCTCTCGTGTTGCTAAAATCAAACGTTTATCCAGGCAGAACAAACATTGGCAGGCCGAGGTGCTGGGTTCTGCTGGTTAAAACCCCTGCCACGCTGCTCGAGAGCCCTCGCACGTCTCTCTGGTGTCTCCCAGGGTCCCTGTGTGTCCCTTCCCTGCTGCAGGAGCTTTATTTCTGGCTCTTTTTCTAAAAATCGTTTTTTTTTTTTCCCTCCACCCAGTGGAAAGGAACCCACCCAAGTGGCTGAGCTGATATCTGACCTGATACCAATCCTCATTCTGCAGCAGTATCGAAAACATCGCAAWTCACCCCAAAGTGTGCTGGAGTTAAAAAAGGTGAGGTGAGAGCGTGGGAGGATTAGGAGGTTCTCCGGAAGGATGTGGCTGCGTCCTCCCTTTCCACAAGCCCTGGATGCAGCTGAAGCGACGGGTTGAGGTGACGCTGACAGGGCTCGGGGGGCACAGGGGCTCTCCCGGTGCTGGTGACACCTCCGTGCCGCTGTCGCAGCCTCGCGGGGTCCCCGGAGCAGCCCGGCGGCCTCGACGGGGACTGCAGCGGCGGCGCCGGCCCGACGCCCCCGTCACCCTCCTCGGCGGCCGCTGGAAGGGCTTTCCCAGCTCCCGGAGCCAAAGGGATGGAGCTGGAGGCTCTGGGGCCCCCAGCCYGGCTCCTGGACGGCAGATCCAGGTGGAATTCCCTGTGTGTTGAGAGCAACGTGGCTACAAACAGYGCGGAGCCCTCGCGTCCATCACCAGGAGCCCCAGCGAAGGGGCCATCTCCATGGTGGCACGGTGGTGGGATCTTGGAGCAACATCTCCACGCTCAAGAGCACTGAACCAGGATCCCACCCAAAACAAATGTCCCTGAAAACACAGGAAAGAGGTGGCTGTGGAGAGCAGGAGTGAGGCCCATAGAGGCCGAGACCTGCCCGGTGCAGAGCAAACACCTGGGCACTCTGTTGTGTGAACTAAGGGCCTGCAGGAGGGTCAGGGGACATTTCGTAAGTGTCACCTTAATGGAACTGGTGCAGCTCACCTAGCGCCCTGCATTCATCAACGCGGTGCTGGCAGCGTAACGTGAGCGGGGGTATCAGATAAACGCGTTTCAGCAGGGCCCTGGTGTGCGGGAACATCTCCAAGAGCTGTGAGACCCGGCGGCGCGGGCTCGGGCTCGGTTCTCGTGCTTCAGGCCCGCACCGTATTGACCACSAAAATGCAGCAAATGAAGAGGGCAGAGCAGCGGGCACCAGCCCTGTGTCACTACCACCACCAGCACCCATCTCCCCGGTAAAAACTCTACCTGCGTTTCAAAGCTCCSATGTCTCCTGGATGTTTCTGTGCTCTCACTGCTCGATATAATCACTCATTTTCACAAAATGATCCAATTCAGCAGTGGTTTAGACACCCTTTGCCTTCTTCTCTTTGTCAAAGGAAAGAAAGGAGCCGCCATCAGAAGTTAATATTGAGCCTTCTTCACCAAAAAGGGGAGAATTCACCTCCAGCAAGGACAAAATGCATAACCTGATGTACAGGAGTGACTGAGCAGAAGGAGTCTCTTAAATACATTTGTATTCTGGGGGAAACAGTCTCTTAAACACATTTGTTTGCTGTGGGATAGCAAGGACTTAACCTTGCTGCTTTTAGGTGTTGAGACGGCAGCGCTTGGCGCAGCCGGGGCGGGCAGCAGACAACAGCAAACCCGACACCGGCCGCGTGGCAGCGCCCGCATTCCTGCCCCTCGCCACACAATGGCACCGGGATCAGGGCGCCTGTGTCCCTCCGCGCTGCATTCCGTCACGCAGCCGCTATTTCGGTCGGAAAGCCCTTCAGCGAGCCCTTATTTGGGAAGCCGTCCCGCTGAAGGGCAGCGGGAAGGGCGGCGGGATGCAGAGGCCGCTTCCAGCGGCGGCACCGGGAAAACCCAGCGCTGCCCATGGAAGGGGCCGCGGATCCGCGCGGGCAGCGACGCCTCCGCTCTGCCACCGCGAGCCGGTCACCTTTGGTATTTGTGAGGCAGAAGACCAGAGGTCAGGAGGGACACGGCGTCTTGTTCCAGCGTGTTTACGTGTGTTTACCGGGAGCGGCAGGGGCAGCGAAAGGCACACGGACTGCCTGAGGGAGCCCTCAGCTTCGGGGCTTCGTCCACAAGGATCTCTTAGAAACTGGGCTTGGTATTTGCAGATGTTTTTTTCCATCGGTCAAAAACATAAAACACATTTGGAAACTGGAGAAAAAAAAAATAAACCTTGGGAAACAGCTCAGGCAATTAGGAATTTGAAATACTTTGTTTCAGAAGGTAAAAACCACCTCGTTTTGTCGACTCCCCAGGCTATGTGAAGCCCCCACTGCGCTGAGGGCACCTCAGGGGCTGCCACTTCCACGCGGCGGGTTTGTCCTGCGCGGAGCAGGGACAGGGAGCGGGAAGCGCGGAGCAGGAGCGGGAAGCGCGGCCTCCTCCCCGCGGCCACGCGCTGCCACTGCAGCTCAGGAGGCAGCCGAGGCCCCGCTCACAGCCGCCACCACACCCCTGGGCCTTGAGATGCCTTTCTCTTGCTAGTAACGTGAAACGTCTCTTAACATGCAGACCTCCAGGAATAACTAGGTATTTCCTACAACTCTAAGACCCAAATCACACGATCTCCAGCATTAAAATATTAAAATATTGAAGTATTGAAGTGCCAGGAGCTCAACATCCATCACTTGGCACTGCTGCTGTGTCAAGCTGGAGGAGCCAGCTTGAGCCAACGGCTCTCCCCGTTATTCCCAACTTCTCCRGCTGGAGCTGCTGTACCCGGACAGCAAAGCAGCAGCAGGGTAGGACACAGCGCTGGGAAGCCTCACCTTGCCCCGGCAGCACTAGGGGCTACGGCAGCACCCGTGCGAGCAGAGCGCTGCGAGCACGGCTGCCAACGCGCAGGGGTCTCACCGCCCTGAAGCCRAAGCAGGCGTTGGGCACGGCACGCGTGGTGCTCGAGGAGACACGCGCGGCACCTCCTGCTCAGCTCTGCAGGCTCTCAGAGACACGACCCGGCAAAGGCTCTGCTTGGAGCGCAGAGRCTCGCGCACGCTAACACCCAACTCGCCCAGCAGCCCGGCCAGCCTGGCACGGGACAAACACAGCGGCACTGCCCACCCGCCACACGCAGACGCGGTGAGAAACCAGTCACGTTTTACAAGGAGCCCGTTCAGGAGGGCTCAGGGCTCTCCCTCACACCCGGCAGGTGACCACGCTCGCTCTGCAGCTCTTTTACGTCCCATTTTATTTGTACAAAAGCACCGTGACGCACACGCCGACGGCCGCGCCGGCTCTGCCCTCAGCCACGTCAGTCCTTTTTCTGCAGGGCGGCGTTCTTGGCGTTGTTGGCCTGCATCTTCTTCAGCCCCTTTTTGTTGTGCTTCTTGGCAAACCTCATGTTCCTCAGAAACTTCGGGTCCACCTACAGGGAGAAAACAAGCAGAAAAGGCCCGTGTAAAATACAGGGACGTTACCAGGACGTTCAACCTATTCCGAAAGACTGGAAACTTTCTTATTTAACGCATCAACAAAATGATTGTAGGTGACTTCAGCCATCTTTTAAAAGGGCTGTTTACCAAGAGTTTAAGAATAGAGCAGAAAGAAGAGGGCTAGCTGAACAGAGCTGCCAATGAGGCACACTGCCCTGTCGCCACATCGCAGCATCACTTCCAACAGTCCTTCTGGGTCTGAAACAGCGCGGTGTTTGACACAGGATCCGAAATATCGCAAACTGACTGTTGGACACTGTCACCGAGCACAGCAACCCTCAGCAAAGACAACCGCCGCTCCCCTCTTCTAAGGGAAGCAGAGGCTGTAACCCCGAACGCCGGCGTCCGCGCGCGTCTCACCGCGACACCGCCGTTCCCGAGGCCAGGGGGACTCCGGCCGGCGGCTCCCGCTCGGCGGCGGCCCCCCGGCCTCACTCACCCCCTTGAGGGACTCGTAGCGCTGCGAACGGGGCTTCTTGATGCCGTTGCGGTGCCACTTGCGGGCTGCGGGAGAGCGAGGGGAGAGGCGCGTGAGGGGCCCGGKCCCGGTCCCGGTCCCGGTGCCGGTCCCGCCCCCGGCCCGCACTCACACTGGTTGTGCGTCGTGTGGTTCTTGGACTTGGCCATGGCGCAGCCTGCGGGAGCAACGCGGCAACGTCGGCACGGGCCGCG